GGGGTTCGTATGGGGAAAGCAACTCATCTGTGTTTCTTGCATGGATGTTTCTCTCCTTTCTTCTGTCTAAAAATCAATAAAAACATATCCTCAGGTGAGGATTAAAAAAAAGAATTTAAGCTTTTGTTAACCTTTCTTTCCAGAAGACTTCTTTGAGAAGGGAAGATTTACCAACAACAAAACCGTTTTGTGCTTTTTTGGAGAATGTGTTAGCACCATGGATCTCTTTCACAGAAACAGCACATATTTATACATTCAAAAATATTTACATACAATTTCATAGAATTCTTAGTTTTCCCCTAATTTTCCCTTCGAAGGTAGAGGGAAGTGTATTTTAGTTCTGGAAAGCACACAGATGAAGCCACAGAGCTGGCCGGCACAGGGTGCGTTCTTGGGAGTAAAGAACTGGTCAGAGCAAGAGTGTCTGTTAGGCTACAGGGGTCAGATCCTTTAGGTTGGACAGACTGAAATGGGGAAATTCTTTTATCTTTTTGCCTCTTTTCCAACATTTACTTCTTCTTGACTACCGTTCTTCCCCTAACATTTTCTCAAAGTTCTTTTCTTTCTTGACTTTTGTGAACTCAATCTTTTTTCCTGCTTTCTCCCCCTACCCTTAAATTTAGATATTCTTCAGAGTTTTCTCTAGCCTCTTCTCTTTTTAATTTTCATTTTTACATTAAGATGATTTTAGTTATCACTTATTTGTTGATAGTTCTTCTTTAAAAAAAATATATTTTTATTGCTTTTAGAGAGAGAGGAAGGGAGAGGGAAAGAGATAGAAACATCGATGAGAGAGAACATAGATTGGCCACCTCCTGCACGCCCCTTACTGGGGATCTGGCCCACAACCTGGGCATGTGCCCTGACTGGGAATCGATCCGGTGACCTCCTGGTGCAGGGTCGACACTCAACCACTGAGCCACACCGGCTGGACTTTGTTGATAGTTCTTAAATCTCTCTCTGTCTTGGGTAGAAATCCTGACTTCTACCCAGGAGTGTGGACTTTGGAGGCATGCTACCTCAGTGTGAATCCCGCTTCTGCTGTTACTCATTGTTTCCCCTTGGGCGAGTGACTTAACGGTGGGTTTTCCCTTATAGGGAGTTGTTAAGATTGGATGAGGTAAACTCAGTGACATGTTCATAGCGATGCCTGTTGCTCTGAGTACAGGTGATCAATAACAGTTGTTGTGGTTATTGTAAGTGATCAGTAACAGTTGTGGGTATTACTCCTATTCGTAGAATTATTTTCCTTCCAAACTCCCTCGACTGCAAAGTTGGCTGGCAATTGCAGAACATTACAAGGGAAGTCAAACAGGTCAGTGGTCAACATACCGAATATTGAATATTCTTCCTAGCAAACTTTAGTAGCAACTGTGCCTTATTTATGGGGATTTGTATGTTTTTATGGTATGATTTTTGACCAGAAATTGCCTAATGTGGTTGTGTTGGGGGTCCCCGAGACCACCCCAGGTTCAGTGGTTCACCAGGAGAGCTTACAGGACTCAGAATACGGTTGTACTCCTGAATATGATTTATCACAGTGAACAGATACAAAGCAAAGTCAGCAGAGAGCAAAGGAGCATGGGGTCAGGTCCAGGGGAAACAGGTGTAAACTTGCGTCGTCTTCCGTGGAGTCGACAGAATGTGTGACGGAGGGATTCACCTCAGCAGTGAGTTAGGTCGACTCGTGGAAATGTCCGCCTGCGGTTACACCGGGGCTGCTCATGTGGCCTGGCATGTGCCGAAATTTCAGACTCTCAGAAACAGATTACGGTTAAACATAAACCAGGTGCTCGCAGCGTTAGGCGCAATGAGTTGTTCTTATCAGGGAGTGGTGGAGCCCTTCTGGAATGGAAGCTCCCGGGTGCCGGTGGAGGGCCGGCGGCAAGAAGACCTTTCTGAAGATAGCGTGTCGGGGTCACTGCGTTAGCTTTGCTCTGCACAGAGGTATATTATAAAATGTATTTTTCCTAAGACACCAAGACCAACAAACCTACATGTTTTTATTTTTATTTATTTATTTATTTATTTTTGGTAACCCTCACCCAAGGATATTTTTCCATTGATTTTTAGATGAAGTGGGAGGGAGGGAGGGAGAAGGGGGAAGAGAGAGAGAGAGAGAGAGAGAGAGAGAGAGAGAAACGTTGATGTGAGAGAGGCACATCAATTGGTTGCCTCCCGCATGACTCTGGGGTCAGGGAATCAAACCTGCAACCCAGGTGCATGCCCTTGACTGGGAATCGAACCCACGACCCTTTGGTCTCAGGGCTGATGCTGTAACTGCTAAGCCAAACTGGCCAGGGCAATCTGTACATTTTTTAAAACATTTTTTTTCTTTATTGATTTTAGAGAGAGGAAGGGAGAGGGAGAGAGGGATAAAAACATCGATGAGCGAGAACATCAATTGGCTGCCTCCTGCATGCCCCCCATTGGGGATCAGGCCCACAGCCTGGGCATGTGCCCTGACTGGGAATTGAACCAGTGACCTCTTGGTGCAGGGTCCATGCTCAACCACTGAGACACACTGGCCGGGCAATCTGTACATTTTTAAAAGAGGTTTGTTGAGCTATAATTTGCACACCATAAAATTTGCCCATTTAAAGTGAACAGTGCAGTGATTTTTAGTATATTTATACAGTTGTGCAGCCATCACCACAATCTGATTTTAGGACATTTTTATCACCCTGAGATCTGTCTCTGGAACAAATCTGTACGTTTAACATGTTTTCACCATTATTTCATCTCTGATGTTAATGGGTTTGTAAGGCGGTAGCTCGGAAATTATGCACAGATATTTCTCTTTCAGTGTTTTTCAGAGAGTCCGAGTTTTAGTCGGTGTAGTCTCCAAGCCCAGAGCCTTACCAGTAGTCATCACAGTTGGTGTTGTGTGAGTTGGTGGCATTTAATGAAATAATTCTTTATAAAGGAAAACTTTGTTTTCACCTTTAAGTATTCTATTAGTTGGTTGCGGCTTACCAGGGAGAAGCTTGAACTCAGCTCGGCTAACATTGAGTCTTCATGGTTTCTTTCTGCTGTGAGGTGGGCTGGGAATCATGTAGAGAACTGGGGGGGTCGGGAGAGCAGCTGCTCACTGCCCTTAGGGTGCAGGCGGAAGATGCGCATTAGGAGAGGAGGGCAGGACTATCACTCTGCAGTCAGTGGCTTTTTTTTTTTTTGTATTCTCTACTATAGGTACAATAAACAAGAATAAATGAAAAGTAAATTTACATGTGAATTTATAAAATACATTTAAAGAATTATAAAAATTCTTCAGAATTGTAAAAAATTTAAAGCAAAGGTGCTTGTGAGTGTTTAAATAATTATTTTGATGGAAATCTAGTTTCCCCAATAAGTGAATTAGTAGATAAGCTGTACTGTAAACCAAGAACTGTGGGAAGATGTTTGTTTTGTGGTTAAAACAGAACTTAGTCATCATGTGTTATGTAAGTATTGACTAACCCTGGGTGTTTGCCTAAGTGTCCAAATCTGTGTAAAGTCTTTTTTTTTTTTAGTTCAGAACATTATTGAACAACCATTATGTGTGTGGCAATCAGCCTTGAAGAGGTGTTCGTTCCCCATGTGATCCCCTCCCATACTGAATAGCGTGTGACCAATAAGATGTGAAAATGACAGGATGTGAGCTCCTAGGCTAGGCTCAGTCCAGAGTCCCAAAGAATCAAGTCAGGAGTTCACAGCTGCTCAGGCAGAACTTCTTGAACAGCAAGGAGATGTTCTAAGTGACTGCATCTAACTTCATTCAGAAAACAAACTCAAGAAAAACCAGCTTTCTCTCTCTCTCTCTCTCTCTCTCTCTCTCTCTCTCTCTTTCTTTCTCTTTCTCTTTCTCCTTCTACCCTCCCCTCCCCTCCCCTCCCCTCCCCTCCCCTCCCCTCCCCTCCCCTCCCCTTCCTCTCCCCTCCCTTCCCCTCCCCTTCCCTTCCCTTCCCTCCCCTCCCCTCCCCTCCCCTCCCCTCCCCTTCTCTTCCCTCCCCTCCCCTCCCCCTCCCCTCCCTCATACGGCTTTATTTATAATTCAAGCTTTGTCAGCAGTGTTGATCTTATTCTTTTTTTTTTATATTTATCTTTATTGTTGAAAGTATTACAGAAGTGCCCCCTTTTTTCCCCCATTGACCTTCTCCTCCCTGCTCCCACCCCCTCCTGCTTTCCCTAGATTAATGTCTGTGTCCATTGGTTGTGCATATATGCATATAAGTTTTGTTTTATCTCTTCCCAAACCCCCCACCTCCCTTCCCTCTGAGGTTTGTCAATAGATCCATGTCTCGGGATCTGTTTTGGTTGATAGCTTATTTTTGTCCACAAAAGTCTATAAATTAGTGATCATGTGGTACTTATCTTTCTCTGACTGGTTTATTTTGTTCAGCATCATACTCTCCAGGTCTCCATGTCTCAAAGGATACGAGATCTTTCTTTCTTCCAGCTGCATAGTACTCCATTGTGTATATGTACCACTGCTTTTTTGTCTACCCATCTACTGATAGACACTTGGGTTGTTTCCAGATCTTAGCTATCATAAATAGTGCTGCTGTGAACATAGGGGTACATATGTTCTTTCTGATTGGTGTTTCAGGCTTGTTAGGATATATTGCTAGAAGTGGAATCACTGGGTTAAGTGGCCGTTTTATTTGTAATTTTTTGAGAAAACACCATATTTTTTTCCTTAGTGGTTGCACCAGTCTGCATTACCACCAGCAGTGTACTAGAGTCCCCTTTTCTCCACACTCTCGCCAACACTTGTTGTTTGATGATTTGTTGATGGCAGCCATTCTGAGAGGTGTGAGGGGATATCTCGTAGTTGTTTTAATTTGCATCTCTGATGCAAATCTGTGTCAATTCTTATGTTGTTGAAATACGTTTAATTTTAATGTTATCACTTTTATTTAAAAAAGATAATTTTGGCCATCAGGAATTAATATGGTAAATCACTTATTTTCAGGGACAAAGCCCCGGAGTTCACTGTTAATTACCTACTTGTCTTCCAGGTGATTCTACAGCGCGATGCTGCTCTCCATAGGGATGCTCATGCTGTCGGCCACCCAGGTGTACACCATCTTGACCGTGCAGCTCTTCGCATTCTTACACCTGCTGCCCGTCGAAGCAGACATTCTAGCAGTAAGTACTGGGAAGTGTATTCATGTCCAAGTGCATCCCTTAAGGGACAGCTTTAAAAAAGTCCTAAATGATGGAATCTTACAAGGTGTTCGCCTACAAACTTACAGGTGCATGCACACAGTTGTTTCTGGAGAGTGGGAGGACCGCACTCATCTTTTTATTGCTTATTCTCTCGTGTAAGAGCTAACGTACAGTAGGTACCTGGTGAGTGTGGTTGCTCTCAAGGGTGTGTGTGCTCATGCACATGTGTATCTCCATGCGGGGTATTTCTGTAGAGTCTTATGTTTTTTTCTGATAATTAGTATATCTGTAATGACTTTGGTAATGTTATTTAAAAAAATTGTACAAGATGTCCATAGAAAATGTTAAACTAAGATTAATGCTAAAGAGTCCGAAGAAAAGCATACTGGTGTTACCTGTGATGGTGGATAGAGAAGAGTTTAGAGAATATCGCTGCTCAAAACCTCAGGTGTCCTTTCTGGGCTACTGTCTTACTGTCCTCTAAACTGGGAAGCGCATGTGTTTCTAGTGCTCATTTCTGTGAAGCTGGAAAGGGCAGAATGAACTGTGTGTGTGTGCACATGTGTACCCAAGCCCATGTATACTGTAGGCACTATCCCAAGGTTTACTGTTTTTCTTTCTCAGTACAGTGATTTGCTTAATGACATGAGGTGAGAAATGGAAGGGCCAGAATTGTTGCTGACCAGTCATGTGGTCCTCAGTCATGTGTCTGTCCTGTGGCACTGGGGAAGGGCCGGGATCAGTGCAGAGCCGGAGAACCAGGCTCTCAGTGCTGTAGCTTTAGAAGGCACAGCAGTTCTAACCCCTCTGAGCTTCTCACCCTCTTACTCTCTGTGGTAGGAACTAGCTGATTAGATGATTTTCTAGAAAGGAGGATCTTTTCGAGTTGGAATGGAAGTAGAACTAAAAGTCCATTTTCATTCAAACTTCTCTAAATTGGTCCCCAAAGTCCTTGGAATATTCTTGGGGTGGCTTTTGAAATGAGATAGCGGATACATGAACTGATCAGGGAGTGAGGTTCTCCTTGTCTACCTTTTCACCTTTGATTCTTCCATGCCGTCCGCCCCTCGCCCCGCCCCCTCGCTCCGCCCCTCTTCCTCTGCGGGCCTTGTGGCCGGGCTCTCCCTTCTGCCGAGGAGGGCTGGGAGCCCCGGGCGGCCCAGGTGGGTTAGACCACCAGTGGGCGCTTGGGGGCCGAACCGCTGTGTGACCGCAGTCAGATCACTTAGCCACTGCAGGGCCTCAGCTCCTTCGCATAAGCTAGGGCGCCGTGAGGGTTAGATAAGGTGAGCTGCTTAGAACAGTGTCCGACACATAGGAAATGTTTTGTTTGCATTTATAATTATCATTCTCATCGTCCTTCCCTCACTCCCTGGAGCAGGTATGAGACTGCCCACGGTGTGTTTAATAGGACAAAGCAAAACATCCGATATGGCGCAGTCCGTGCTTGCCATCAGTGTCCTGTGCTGCGGCAAGTACGTGAGAGACACACGGATGTTACCTGGTGGAGGGACCGTCCGCGTGGGAGCTGCTCAGAGCTGACCGCCGTGCTGCCGCAGAGAGAGAGGCTGTGACTGCAGAGGGAGGGGGGTGGGGGAGGGGACCGGGAAGGGAGGGGAATGCAGTGTGGGGGGCGGGGACCGGGAAGGGAGGGGAATGCAATGTGGGGGGCGGGGACCGGGAAGGGAGGGGAATGCAGTGTGGGGGGCGGGGACCGGGAAGGGAGGGGAATGCAGTGTGGGGGGCGGGACCGGGAAGGGAGGGGAATGCAGTGTGGGGGGCGGGGACCGGGAAGGGAGGGGAATGCAGTGTGGGGGGCGGGGACCGGGAAGGGAGGGGAATGCAGTGTGGGGGGCGGGGACCGGAAGGAGGGGAGTGCAGTGTGGGGGGCGGGGACCGGGAAGGGAGGGGAGTGCAGTGTGGGGGGGAGGGGACCGGGAAGGGAGGGGAATGCAGTGTGGGGGGCGGGGGCCGGGAGGGGAATGCAGTGTGGGGGGCGGGGACCGGGAAGGGAGGAGAGTGCAGTGTGGGGGGCGGGGGACCGGGAAGGGAGGGGAATGCAGTGTGGGGGGCGGGGACCGGGAAGGGAGGGGAATGCAGTGTGGGGGGCGGGGACCGGGAAGGGAGGGGAATGCAGTGTGGGGGGCGGGGACCGGGAAGGGAGGGGAATGCAGTGTGGGGGGAGGGGACCGGGAAGGGAGGGGAGTGCAGTGTAGGGGGAGGGGACCGGGAAGGGAGGGGAGTGCAGTGCGGGGGCGGGGACCGGGAAGGGAGGGGAATGCAGTGTGGGGGGCGGGGACCGGGAAGGGAGGGGAATGCAGTGTGGGGGGCGGGGACCGGGAAGGGAGGGGAGTGCAGTGTAGGGGGAGGGGACCGGGAAGGGAGGGGAGTGCAGTGTAGGGGGAGGGGACCGGGAAGGGAGGGGAGTGCAGTGCGGGGGCGGGGACCGGGAAGGGAGGGGAGTGCAGTGCGGGGGCGGGGACCGGGAAGGGAGGGGAGTGCAGTGTGGGGGCGGGGGACCGGGAAGGGAGGGGAATGCAGTGTGGGGGCGGGGACCGGGCAGGGAGGGGAGTGCAGTGCGGGGGCGGGGGACGGGAGGGGGTTGTTGCGATGGGAACCAGGACGGGGTGTGAAGACATGAAATAGGTGCAAAGGGGAACTAAAAATCCAAGCTCAGGACTTTGATGTGGTAACACAATTACCCAAAGGAAGTGAGTCAAGAGGTAGAAAATGCCAGCTGTTTCTTTAATTCAGTAAGAGCACCCCTAAAATCTGAGTGTGCAGCGATACGGAAAAGTACGCGGTGAAGAACTGACTCCAGCCCCACGTGCACAGGTACTGGGGCCCCGCCTTTGCACCCCGAGGTCGGCGAGCCGTGCTGCGTGCAGCCGGACGACTGGGTGCTGGCGGTCGGGCTCCCACGCGGGGGCTGGTTTCCCGACAGCAGTATTCGTCTGGCTGGTAGGTGGTGAGCCCGGGGCCACGGAGCCGCCGCCCCAGGCTGGTGCCGTGTCTCCGCCAGCGCCCGTCGGAGGCCGGAGGGCAGGACCGCCCCTGGGGACTTGGTTCTTCCCCGTCTTCCTTGGGCAGCGCTCGTCCCTCGGTGCTTCGGATGGAGTGGTGCTGTGAGCGCTGCTCCTCGCGTCCCTTGTCGCGTCCGTCTCTCCTCCCGTCTGCAAGGACACGTGGGATCATTTCGTAGGGTTACGTCTGGAAACAGCGCCCCGGCGTGGGCGGGGCATTGACTTCAGAGATGACAGGTTGAGCTCCCAGTGCCTTGCTAGCCCTGAGCAGCGCTGTGATCTTGATTGGAAGTAGTGTGCATCTTACATAGTTTCAGAGTCGAACAACCCCGTTTGGATGTTCTGCTGCAGCGGCTTGGCCGGGAGACGTGTCTGCAGGCGGTTGTGAGGGTCCGCGGGCAGAGCGGAGGGACGCCCCGCGGTGGGTGGACCGGCTCACACCGCCTGGGAGCGGAGAGGTCTGCAACCGAGCTAGGATCTGAGTTGAATTTAACACCTCTTTAGTCTCACTTCTCATGAAAACGGGACTGGATGAGAGACGGGGGCAGTGGGTTAAGAGCCAGGGTTCCGGGGCCAGACTGCATGGATTAAAATCCGGTTCCTCTGATTCGCTAGAGCGAGTTATTTTCAGTGTCTGTGGTCTCTAAATGAGGGTGATGGTAGCAGAGACTGATGGTGTAGGGTGGTTGTAAGGGTTAAATAAGTGAATACCTCTTAAGTGTTTAGCATGATGTCATAAATGCCCAATAATTGTTACTTTGTAAATTAAATTTAAACCTTCCGTTAAGGCTGCAGTCAAAAAGAATTGGATAAGGAAAAAGCCTTTTCAAAATCTGTGCATTAAAACTGTCATACGTGGTAATCACTGAGGATGGGATTCCAGAGAGGAGTAATTTTATTTTCTGATTCAAACATGTTAATAGTGAGCATGCTTTAATTTCAGGAGCCCAGTTGCCCCTCTAATAGTCAAGTGTGAAGCACTTTTGTACTAAAGATGTTTTCATGTCTCTTGTTCATGATAAGAACTTTTTTTTAAACAATGTCATTGTAAGAGGCAGTGTGAGACAGTCTTTATTTTGCTATTAAGAAAAGACAGAGCAATTTCAAAATGGGTCTCACTCAATAACAAAAGTGCTTCTTAGTCCTAGTGTTACAAGTACTATATGTACAAGCTAGATATTTTACTTCTGAACTTCTGGAAAAAAAAAAACCCCAGCAAGTCCCGCAGTAATAGGAAATGATACAAGAATACTTTTGTGCAGTTGTAGATTTTCCATTTCCTGATTTTAAAAGTACTTTTTAAAAAAAAGTGCTGCCAGCACACATTTGTATTTTCCTTTGGTCTATCCGTGTTGATCTAGAGTGACCTCTTTCTTTTTTTCTTTCATTCAGATTAATTTCCTTATTTTACAGTCGGGTCTTTAGCCTTGGAACGCCAGGCTGATTATTCCATCATATGAGACAAACATCCGATGAGAGGTACAGGGAACTGATGGGTGCGCTGAGGCACTTGGGATCGGGTACGAGAGGAGCAAGAACCACACTGCCCGAATCCTGTGTTCCTGCCACTAGTCTGTCCACTCTCTCTGTGCTGCATCAGCTTTCCTGGGGACCAGGCCCTGAGTCGAGGGTTAGCAAGGGGGCTTGACAGGTGAAGGTGTCGGGATCCAACCTTTGCTTGCTCTGTTAGAGAGAGTGAGATATTTGCTGCGAACACAGTTGTAACTGGCTGTTACCCTGAAGAGTTATTTATCTGGAAGCTGAAATGGGGATCACCAGTAGGTGTTTGATTTGGGGATGACATCGCCATCAGTCCTGGTGTTCCACCTAAACCATGCTTTGTGAATATTTAAGGTTTGCTTGATCCTTCCATCCTTGACTGTCTATACATACACTCTGCTTTGTCCCATTCTTTTTATCTATATTCAAAACAAGTCGTGTTCTAGTTTTTCTGGTTTTTGCCTACAGTTTGTGGCAACCATCTTAACTTCTGATGCACCATGCCATCTTTTGTCTGTGTTTCAGAAGTTACTTGTTTACTGTCTTTGCTTAGTTTCATCTATATTTTTTGTTTCTCGTCTTCTCTATAGCCGATTGAGCATTCTAAGTAATACAGCAAACTCACTTCACAATCACATTTACTGTTATCTTCTAAAAGCAGGAGAACCCTTGTTTTGTTCTGTTCCGGGAGAGGACACTGTAGCGTAGGAGTTTGTATCTATAAGGAGGGGAAAGTTGTTAAAATAGTTTTTGAATACCTTCAGTTCTCTAGATGTGTGTACTTCATTGAGCATAGAACTTTCATTGTTTAGCCTTAGATAAAAATGTTCAGATTGTATAAAAGATTACAGTGCTTTAAGAGTATGATTTGATGCTCCTTCTTCTCCTAGGGAAAAGGCATTTTTTCATAGCTAGAGCCAGAAACCCTGCAAATCTCTTCTATAAGTCAGACCCTTATAATATAGAGAAAATAAAGTGGAATACTATAAAATTATTGCTGTTGCTTAATTATTATATGAAACCAAGAGTCTAATTTAAGCAGCTGGATATGTAGTGAATTGTATCTATTCCTTGCTATTTTAGTGGATGGACGTGCATTTGCAAGGTTATTTTTCTTGTGATAAACTGTGATAATAAATCAGATTTGTGGAAATGACATCTCAAATAATTTAACAATTTTTTTGTTTTGAAATGTTATGTGTAAATTGGTTGTAACCTGATTGTTTTTAATTTTACATTTAGTATAATTTTGAAAATGTATCTCAGACGTTTGATGACCTTCCAGCAAGATTTGGTTACAGACTTCCAGCTGAAGGTTTAAAGGTAAGAAAATAGTAATATATAGTAATGGCACAAGGTATTTAATAGGTGATTTTATTGCTCTTTATTTGTTTCAAGACTGAAAGTATTTGTTACTATTTCTTATTATAAAGTCCATACATATTCATTAGTACAGGGTTTAAACTATTCAAAAGGTATGAAGAAGAAAGTGAAAATTACTTATGATTATATTATTCTGAACTAGCCACTGTTAACATTTTGGTATACAATATTTTAGACCTTTTTCCTAGGCTATGTGCCTTGCGTGTGTGTTCGTCGATGTGTGTGCATATGTATTTATGTAAATGTTTATAGATAATCTATCTGTAACACTAATAGAAACATACTACTTGGTTACCTGCCTTTTTCACTTAATCATTTACCTGGAAAATCTTTTCATGCTAATAGAGGAGGTACATTTTTATTTACAATGGCTGCGTGGTTGTACAATATCATAAAACGGGATTTTTATGATACTGAACATTGATTTATTTAATTTTTCATACTAGATATTTAGATTATCCAGTTTTTGCTATTACCAACAGTGCTACAATGAATGTCTTTGTTTTTTTGTGTGTGTTTATTTGCCTAAGGTGCTTTTCCAAATGTAGAAGACCCTTCGGTCCTCAGGCCGACACTTATAACGGCTAAGCCAAACCGCCCAGGGCATTTTTTAAAATTTATATATTAAACATTTTTTTCCTTTATTGATTTTAGAGAGAGAAGAAGGGAGAGGGAGAGAGAAAGAGAGAAACATTGGTGAGAGAGAACATCGGTTGGCCACCTCCTGCTTACCCCTCATTGGGGATTTGGACCACAACCTGGGCATGTGCCCTGACAGGGAATTGAACCAGGGACCGCATGGTACAGGGTCGACGCTCAACCAATGAGCCACACTGGCTGGGCCAGGGCCTTTTTTTTTTTTTAAATCCTGGTCTGAGGATATATGTTTATTGATTTTATAGAGGAAGGGAGAGTGAGAGAGAAAAACAGATGTGAGAGAGAAACATCAGTTGGTTGCCTCCTGTTCGCACCCTGACCGGGATCGAACCTGCAACACTTTGGAGTATGGGATGATGTTCCAACCAACTGAGCACCTGGCCAGGGCAAGGGCTTAACTTTTAACTGGTATATAACCCTGCCATCCCTCCCTAGTCAGTGCATTCCTCAGTGATGCGCAGCAAGACTTGGAAGGCGTGGCTGTCAGATTTGCAGATGGCATGGAGTTTGGGATGGTTCATATACTAATGTTTTGCCCTTGAATCTTAAAAGATAGATTACTGCCCTGGCTAGTTTCGCTCAGCGGTTAGAGCGTCGGCCTGTGGACCAGAGTCCTGGGTTCAGTTCCCACTAAGGGCACGTGCCTCGGTTGCAGTTTGTCTCCGGCCCCGGTTGGGGTCATGTGGATGGCAACCAGTTGATGTGTCTCTCACATCGATGTTTCTCTCTCTCTTCCCCCCTCTCCCTCCCGCTCTATCTGAAGATAAATGCAAAAACGTCCTCAGGTGAGGATAAAAAAAAAAAAAAGGTCACTGAAAAGAGTAGAAATGTAGCTTAATTTGTTGAAATAACTGTGATGTATTTGCCCAAAACCTAATACGGCTTTACAGTGCGTCAGAAGTATAAGGTCTGGACCAGGCTGAAGAGTCGGAGCTCAGGGAACCGTTCTCTTTACCAGGTGCGATGCTGCCCTGTTCACGAATTGTTGAATAAAGCCAATTAGATCTTGAACTTAGGTTCCTATCCGTTGTTTTATTGGTCAGATCATTTATAGTTGCAAGGTCAGTTTTTGGCTGCCAACTGAAATACAGTGAAGTTTAAGAATCAACGCAAACACTACTTTTTCTGTTACTGCCTCCTATGGTTAGAATGTTCGGCTCTGTTCTCTGCAGCTGTACTGCACGTTGCTTCTGCTTCCTGGGATTGCATGCCGCTGTGTGTGACTGGGCAGGTCACCTTCGTTAGCCTTAGATTCCTCATCTTTAAGTAGAGACGAGGAGACTAGTAGTTGCCTCATAGAGTTGCAAAGATGAACTGAGTGAAAACAAAGGTATAGCATAGGTTTGACCACAGCACCGAGTGCCATGGCTCAGCAGGTGTTAGCTGCCTGCTTGTTCTAGGTGATCCATTCCTACCTTCGGGTGTTCACCGAGACAACTGCCTCTTCTCTCCTCTTCCTGCTCCTGCGTCTACGCCCTGGTGAGGGCGTCCCTGTCGACGTCATCGCTGCGTGTGCCCTGCTTAATCTTATCGTGTAGCTTGTCACCCAGTGACCGCCGAAGGGAGGAAGGCTCAGGCTCTTTCAGCCCGAAACAGTCTTGTACGCAAAACCACTTATTGAATCATCTGTCTCCTTATGGCTTTATTAACCAGTGTGATTTATCAAGAAAAGTAATTTTTTCTAATGTTTTCTCTGATAATGCTGCAATTCTGAATACTCTCTGAAGCACTAAAGCAAAATTATGTTTGTATGATTTTTATGTGTAGATTATTTCAGTTCAAAAGTGGTCACCCAAATCACTTTGGAAAACCGCCTGGTAGTGTTTACTAATGCTCAGTCCCCTGTGGTCCGGCTGGATATCCTGTGGCTCTGCTGCTGTACACACTTCACAGATGCATGCATGTGTTCGTGAAAAGACTTGTGCTAGGATGTTCATAACACTACTGTTTGAAGTAGCCCCTACCTGGGAATGCTCGTCAGTTATAGAATAAGTTTTGGCATATTCACACAATGTAATATTGTGTAGAAATGAAAATAAAACATCTACCAAGTATATCTCAACAGTATGGTTGCTCAACAGTAGAGTTGAATCTCACAAATATGGTACTGAGAGAAAAATCTAAAAGACCAGTTACTATACTGCATGGTTCTGTTTGTGTTCAGTGTCAGTATGGCCCAAACTAACCTAAGCTCTTAGAAGTTCAGCAGGGACACTGGGGGTTGAGTTGGGGAGTAGTGGATGGCAGGGAGGGTGAAGGGAAGTTCTGGGGTGATGTTCACGTTCTGTGTCCTGATCCAGGTGTGTCAGTTTGTGAGAACTCTTCGAGCTGAACAGTTATATTTTGTGTAGTTTGCTTTATATATAGTCATAGAAGCTTTTAAAGATCAGCATGTCAATGTATTGTAAACTTGCTGCATTATGCATTTAATGATAATTGAGGTGCTAGTCTCGATGCACCATTTTCGCCCAGCACCTTGTTTAATGGTCAGAGAATCACAGCAGTAAAGGGAGAGGTGGGCATCGGCTTCTGCGTCTCCTAGGCGTGGGCAGTAGCTTGGCCCCGGCGTGTTGGCACACGGCACTCCTGTCAAGGTGGAGCTGAGCACGGTTCTTGATCGTGGGGCCAGCATCCTTTTGATGAGGGAGGGTTGGCCGAGAGGGGACACCAGGCACATGGACCTGGCTCGAGGCAGCACCCTCTTGGCCACTCGTATTCAAGAGACTTCTGCCAATGAAATGACAGAGCCATTCATTACCTCACAGACTTTGTGGGTGAAAGGAGGGAAATTTGTTATTAGTTAAAGTGACTCACATCTGAGAGAGGAATAGGAATTAGTATGCTATTTTAAGAAGTTATTTTTTAGCATAGTGAAAAGGAAAGATAAGACCTGTTTTTTTAAGAATTCAATTTTTCACTAATGCTTATAATTTTTGTACTTTTAGATTATGCGTATTTTTATACATTTTAAGTTTAAAAATAATACATGCCACCCTGGTTGGGTGTCTCAGTTGGTTGGAGTGTTGTCTCGTACACCAAAAGGTCACGGGTTTGATTCCTGGTTCGGGCACGTACCTAGGTTTCGGGTTTGATCCCTGCTCAGGGCACGTACAACAGGTGGCTGATGGATGTTTCTCTCTCACATCGATGTTTCTCTCTCCCCCCCTCCCTTCTTACCCATCTCACTCTCTCCCTTTCCCCCTTCCTCTCTTTCTAAAATCAATGTAAAAAAGTCCTCCTCTGAGGATTTAAAAAAAACCTTTTTTTTTTTTTCTTTATCCTCACCCTTTTTTTACCCCATGTTTTAACATCTCTGAAATTGGGATGTCTTTCAATTGATGTCCACCAGGTGGCAGTCATGAAGGAGGTGCCATCTCCAGGGCCTGGGGAATTTGGCCTTAGCTGCTCATGTTTTCTTCACTTTAGTTGAGTTATATGCCTTCGTTGTACTACACAGGTTCAGCTTAATTGCTGTTATAAGTGTCCTGGGAAGAACTGTATGTACTGTGTGATCTGACTTGAAAGCAGAAAGTCTGTGTACGCATATAGGTGCGGAAAAGGCAGCAGTGTCCATTTAACCTGAGTGAAATAAATGTGCATCGTCGGAATGATAAAAGCCAAATGCTTTATGGAGTGTAGAAGGGCAGCCACTTTTTGTGGAAGGTGTGCTGCATTGTATTCCTGAAACAGGTGCAAAGCATCCCCTGTACAAGCTAAGCAGTGAAACTTAGGGCCCGAGGACTCGCAGGCCCGGGGAACGGATGGTTGGTGTGACACCAGCCACAGAGACTCTTGTTAAGGCAGAGTGTCATAGGGTTAATTCTTCATGTCTTTTTACAAGTGATGTAATGAATCTGATCCTCTTTACGCATTTATTCAGTGTTTTACATCTGTTGACAGTCATTTGGTTTTTTGTTTTAATCTGTTAATATAACATCAGTAAGTAACATTAATATAGTAACATTTTATATTAATAAATGACATTAATATAACATAACGTATTAATGATATATGTATTATAATAACATAACCCTTTCTAGTAATACTTTTTCTGATGTCAAATCATCCTGTGGTTCCGGAAAAGCAACTTACTATTTTCTTTTTACATTAATAATTATGTTGTGGACATCTTTTCAATTTAATGTATATAGATTTACCTCATTCCTTTTAATGGCTTAATTTTTTAAATTTTATGAATATGTTATAAATTTTAAATGGCTGCCATATTGATGTGCATGGTTTCAAGTTTTTGCTATTAAAATGTAGCAGAGATCATCTTTCTATATATGCCAACGGTTCTCAACCTGTGGGTCGCGACCCCTTTGGGGGTCGAACGAGCCTTTCACAGGGTCACCTAAGACATAACAGTAGCAAAATTACAGTTATGAAGTAGCAACGAAAATAATCTTATGGTTGGGGGTTCCCATAGCATGAGGAGCTGTGTTAAAGGGCCACGGCATCAGGAAGGTTGAGAACCCCTGAATGCCTTTAGTCACTGAGGCTAGTGTTTCTACAGAAAAAGTTTCTAGAACTTGTGTGCATTTTCATTGTTTGCTAGCATAAAAGAAATTTAAAGGTTCATTTTAAATAAATAAGTACATGATTGAGACCATTAAAAAGTTAATTTTAAAAAAGCATTTGCTTTCCCTGGCTGGTTTGGCGCGGCGGGTAGAGCACTGGCCCTCCACTGAAGGGTCGCAGGTTCGACTCCTGGTCGAGGGCATGTTCCTGGGTTACAGGTTCGATCTCTGGCCCCAGTCAAGGTTGTTGGGGGGCAACCAGTTGCTGTATCACTCTCACATCGATGTTTGTCTCTCCCCCTCCCTCCCTTCCACTCTATCTCTGTCTCAGATCAATGGAAAAATATTCTCCAGTGAGGATTAAAAAAAATTAAAAACACAGTATTTGCTTGGTTCAGAAATGTCAGTCATTGTTGGGAAATATACCAACATGCTAATAGTGATTGTCTTCAGGTATGGGCTTATGTGTGTTTAAAAAACTTTAACAACAAAAACAGAACTACTTACAAAACTAAATGCTGCCCTGGCCAGTTTGGCACAGTGGTTAGAGCGCTGGCCTGAGGACCAGAGTCACTGGTTCGATTGCCGTCAAGGCCATGTGCCTGGGCTGCGGTTCATCCCCGGCCCTGGTCAGGGCCGTGCTGGAGGCAGCCGATGGATGAGTCTCTCTCACGTCGATGGTTCTCTCTCTCTCCCTCCCACTGTGTGTAGAGATAGATGGGAAAATATCCTCAGGTGAGGAGTAAAAAAACAAACAAAACTAAATACTTATGAAACCCAGTACTTAGAAGTTCTGGGGTTGTGAGCAGTTGGAGGGTGGGAACTGTTGTTTTGCCAGATAATTCGTCTAGCATAATGCAGAACACATGAAATAAGTTCAAACGATGTTTATAGAAGCAAGTTGAATTGATTTTTTTGAGTTTAACAGAGAAGAACTCACTACCAATTCTTTTTCAGGGTTTTTTGATAAACTCGAAGCCGGAGAACGCCTGTGAGCCGATAGTGCCCCCCCCACTGAAGGACAACTCGTCCGGCACGTTCATCGTGTTGATCAGGAGACTCGACTGTAACTTCGATGTAAAGGTAATGTTTGCTTTTTTATTTTTTGGTTAATGTTTGTTTAGTATCTTAAATGCTCTCTTGTTTAGGAAAGTTTACACTGTTTATTCGGATTAAAAAACGAAAGGAGTGACGACAGAAGGAGGCAGTGAAGTACAACATTCAGGAGCAGGGTTACGTGTCTCATTGATTTGCTACAAAATTCATTTGAAGCTTTTAGCAGACAGTACCAAGAGGAAGACGCGTCGGTTTCATGATTCCCAGTTGTAGTAATATTGGCAACAAACACATTGACTAGGATATAATAAGTACTGTTGGGTCTGGGAGTTTCCAGGTGGCGGTTGGGCATCTTTGAACCATGGTTGAGTAGCGGAATCTTGCTTATTCTAATCTAGGAATGGAAATAGTAACCTTTAGTTCTCTGTCTTCACCCTTCTACGACACCGGGTCCGTAAGTGGTGACGTTGGATTCCTCTCTGTGGAAGCGGCTCTGTTCCCCGCGCACAGTCTCTCTCCGAGTGGCTGAGCTGGCAGCTCAGGGAACGGAATTCGCGCCAGTGCGCCCCGCCCCGCGCCAGTGCTCCCGGTGCCAGTGCTCCCCGCCCCGCGCCATTGCTCCCCGTGCCAGTGCTCCCCGCCCCGCTCCAGTGCTCCCCGCCCCGCGCCATTGCTCCCCGTGCCAGTGCTCCCCGCCCCGCTCCAGTGCACCCCGCCCCGCGCCAGTGCTCCCGGTGTCAGTGCTCCCCGCCCCGCGCCATTGCTCCCCGTGCCAGTGCTCCCCGCCCCGCTCCAGTGCTCCCTGCCCCGCGCCATTGCTCCCCGTGCCAGTGCTCCCCGCCCCGCTCCAGTGCACCCCGCCCCGCGCCAGTGCTCCCCGTGCCAGTGCTCCCCGCCCCGCTCCAGTGCTCCCCACCCCGCTCCAGTGCTCCCTGCCCCGCGCCAGTGCTCCCCGTGCCAGTGCTCCCCGCCCCGCTCCAGTGCACCCCGCCCCGCGCCAGTGCGCCCCGCACCAGTGCTGCTCCGTGGGGTTTTGATATTTTTTTTTATCCTCACCGAGGACATTTTTCCATTTTTTGTTCAGATAGAGTGAGAGGGAGAGAGAGAGAGAGAAACATCGATGTGAAAGGGACACATCGAGTGGCTGCCACCCGCATGACCAACCAGGGCCGGGGACAAACTGCAACCGAAGTACGTGCCCTTAGCGGGAACTGAACCCGGGTCTCTCCGGACCGCAGGCCGACGCTCTAACCACTGAGCCAAACCGGCCAGGGCTCTCCATTGCTTTTAAATGGAAAATAAACGAAGAGTTTCAAGTAGATTCCCTGCTCTTCAGAGCCTTTGCATTGCTCATAGTAGTTTGAATTTAAAACATTTTAGGATTTGATCCAGAACTAAGCTATAGTAATTATAGACTGTTCCGACAAAATTAAATATTATTTGATCGTTAATTTTTGCCTCTAAAAAATAAAAAATAAACTAAATGCTGATCCCAAGCTTCATTATACTATTATGCCATGTAATTTTTGGCTCAGTTCAGTCTTCGGTAACTAGAAACCAGAATACCTTTATTTTTACTTTTTTTTAACTTTCTGTTTTAGGTGGGGATGAGAGGTGTCACTGCACAGTTTAGGGAAGTACTGTCATTGAACATTTATTCTTGAGGGTGGAAACCCAGTCCAGGAATGTAGGGAGACTGGTGAGTCGTTAGTGGGTCCTCGTCGTTTGAGCACTTCTCCTGGGGTTTATGGTTGATTCCATCTCATCTCTTTCCGCTCGTCACCTACTCCAAGTGTCTAGCTCGCCGTGCCTTGCTCACCGCACCTTTGTGCCTTTACCCCTGCTGTTCTCTGTCCGAGGTCTCTGTCCGGACGACCTTCCCCCCGTTTCTGCCTGTCGTCGAAGCGCTGAGGGCGTGCGTCCCCTGGAGCCTGCTCTCCTTCTGCCCAGTCTGGCGGAGGGGGTCATTCCGGCTCCGAGCTCCGCCCTTCCCCTTGTAAATACTTCTCATTGCCCTTTTAATTATATACAGTTCACTTCTGTGAGCTTAGAGTTCACGTTTTACTTATATTTATATTTCTTGTTTGTATCATAGTGCATGGTAGGAGAGAGCAGGAAAGATTTGTTAAATCAAACTGTGTGGTATAGATAAACCTTCTACTTATGTGTATAAATTATTCTCTAAAAACACGTACTTGTAAAAAGCATGTAAAAACGTTTCAATTTAGATTTCTCATCTTTAAAAGGAAAATGTTAAAAAATGTCCCATTATTCCTCACTGTGTAGTACCATTGGTGTCAGGTTGATCGAAGGTAACGATGGCAGAGATGCTGACGGTGACAGGTGCGGGGTCTCACCGCCGCCGTCTGCAGGCCAGGGAGCCGGGAAGCCAGTGCTGTGGTTCAGTCCGAGGGCCTGAGCCCGCGGCTGATGCCGTGAGTCCTGGAGTCCCGAGGCCGGGAGACGACTGCGCTGTTACTCTAGCTCATCTCCAGAGGGAATTTGTCCTCCCTTTGCTCTTTGTTTCTTTGGGCCCTCCTGGAGCTGGATGCTGGCCACCCACACTGGTGAACACTGTTCTTTACTTGTTCTACTGAATCCGGTGCCACTGTCTTCCAGAACCCCCTCACAGACACCCCCAAAGTAACGTTATGTGAGCTGCCTAGTCATTTCTTAGCTCAATCAACCTGACATGTAAAATAAACCATTACACTGACTTTTCAGAAGCTGAATTATTGGCTGATAAGTCACGTTGTGATATGGTTACTCATTGTCAGTAGATGTGTGAAATTTCTGGCTTGGCTTATAAAAAACAGTTCAAGTTATACCAGTGCACAGGAATAAAATATGTTTCATAAATAGAATATCAAGGGGAGTGAATTGATAAGAATAAATTCATCATGATCACTAGAAAAACAACTGGAATCTCATCCCAGAGAGAATTTTCTGTCTCAGGCTAGTCCCTGGTAGACAGACTTCTCGCTTCCTTAGTAGCAATCTTCCCATCAGAACTCATAGCGGCATTTTCTGGGCGTTCAAATTGAGGGTTCCATGCAGTTTTGTAGCAGGGATGTTGTGGAACCTAATTATTTACAATTTAGATATTCTACTTTTTTTTGAATTGCAAATAGCTCTTTGTGGATAATAAATAGTGGTTCATTTATATATTACAATTTTTTATGAATGCATTGACTTAAGAAAACAGAAAAACAACTCATTTCCTTTTTCCTGATGTAGCAAACTGTGATTGAGTATAGAGAAAAGCTTAATTCAGCACCACACAGAATGCTGCGGTTGGTAGTGTTGCAAGATTATTTTTTTTTGCCATTCTTCCTATCCAAAGTGACGCCTAAATTATCTCAAATAAATGAGAATTGGCTCTGTTTTACAAAGCTGTCCTTGGAGAGAGGGACCCTTTTCCTTGAAGATAGCAGAAGAGAAGAGAAAGAAATAAAATTTTATCAAGATATTTCAAATGATTAATGGTAGTGCATATTCCAGGGTTTTACTTTTTGTAAACTCTTTAGATTTTCTTTGAAGATGAAATAAGACATCTCTTATTTCTTCCGTAAAAGTAAGTGAAATGCAAGTCACGTGCTAAAAATAATGGAAATGGCAGGTTAGAAACTATTCCAAGTGTTCTGTGGCTAGAGGCAGCAGAGGTGACCAAGTAAGACAGCAGGCGCATGCTCTTTTGAAGGTGGAGAATTGCACTGTTGTGACATTCTGAAATAAAGAAAGCACTTTTTTTTTTAACTCTCTGTCGGGAGAAGCACGGCTGAGCCTTTTAATTTATCTTGCCCTGAAGAGATGCAGCTGAGCGCGTGTTCAGAAGCAGTGTTTGGCCACAGGGGGTGACCAGAAGCCCAGCGAGAAGTATTGATGACGTGCCAGGGTTATTCTAAAACAGTCACTTCGACGTACACTGAGAAAAACCATATCCTCCGAAAAATAAAGCTCTTTAGAGGAAAAGCAAAATAATGTCACTTTGTTTATCTTTGAAAAATGCTGTTCTTTACTGTGACAAAATATAATTATTTGGAAGTATTTGTTTGGGTGAGTGTTTGAAGTTAAAGAAACATTGCTGGCTCTTTGGTAAATAAATTAAGGCTAGATTAAATATTTTAATTAGAAAAATGACTTTTTAGCATTCTGAGGCAGATAGTCCTCAGGAGATTCATATTCCTCACTTGTATCCCAGTGAGAAATATGCCATTTAAACATTTTTGTAAATAGTTATTTCATGAACATTAAAATAATCACATAAAATGTAACTTTTCAAAATTGCAAACTTCTGCGTTTACAACGAAATAAAGATTGGTGGTGTCCGTCCGTTGCCCTCCTCGTCCAGTGCAGACTCAGCTGTTCCTCGTAGTCGGTTTCCTCTGAACTGGACCCTGCGGAAGCTTGTACACGGCGTGTGCCGTGCATGTGCTCCCGAATCCCGTCGGCATCTCCTGCTCTACAGTCGTCTGTGAAAACTGCAGCTGCAGAGCCACCTGGGCCTTTGTCAAGGGGCTGGAAGGACAGATTCTTCCCTTCACTCTGGGCGGGGGCGGCCATGGATGGGGTGCAATTTGGATTGTAGATCATAAGGAATATGTTCATATTCATCTTCTGTGGGGATGTGACTTTTACAAAACTTGGCTGGGGTACAAGCCCCCACTTTACCTCACTTCCGACTCTCAAGTCACATGTGTACGTCCCCACACATGCTGAGCAGTCTCCCCTGCCTTGGATCTGACTGTGTCCTTCAGCTGTGATGTCCCCTCTGCTTGTCTGTCTGGGAAAGCTGACTTTTAGGTCTAAGGTGAGGTATCTTCTCCTGATTTCCTCCGAGGCAGAAGAGTCCGCCCCTCCTCTCTATCCCATGTCAGTCTCGGGAGAGAAGAACGTGTTTGAGACTCTATAGTTCTAGTGCCTAATACAGTGTGTGGTACCGGTAGACGACTGATAAATATTTGCTGAATGAACTAATTTAGAAGACCCCGAGGGCTTATAATGAAATGTAAGTGGGTTAGGGAATA